CACACACACACACACACACACACACACACACACACACACACACACACTCTGGAACCAAATCGCACCACACTCCTGTCTGCTCAGTCACCCTTCTTCTCTGCAGCCCCTCTCATCTTCCTCTCTGGTTTGTGTTTACAGACTAAGCCAGCTTTCGGCCACACGGCGGTTCAGATTTCATGTTAATCTGTTTACAAATGCCTTTGATACCCAGCGAATGAGTATCCTCGTTACCGTGAATAATCCGGTTAAAGGAATATTCCCGTCTACCTGTGGTGTCCTATCCACAGAAGAAAAAGTGTTCTGGTTTCATCTACAACAGAAATGAGACTCTGAGGAATGTTTGCTCCCTTATTTTTGACAGAACAAAGGTGAAACAGATCATTTTCAAAAAGAAAGAAAATCTACACTCTTTGAAATGTAATAATTTCTTTATTTTTTTAAATCCGAGAATAATAATTTGAAACTGTAAAGCAATATTCTTTATTCAGTCCAGCATGAATGTTAAATAACAAAATGTGCATACAACATTCATGGCTTCAGATACACGCCCCCCTAAACTCACTTACTCCTCTGGCTAAATGTGCTCTATGCAGAGTTTTTTTATAAACAACATAGTGTGTCACATTGTTGATATAATATGATGTTTTATTTTTTCCTCATCTTCCCTTGTGTGGTTTTTAGTTTTTCTGTTTAAGGTAGCGCAACTCTGTTTGCTGAATGACCAGTTTCACCTGTTCCCCCATGTGTGTCTTCTTGAATGGGTGTTTCTTAACTGTCCCCTCCTCCTTCCCTGAAAGTACAGCACCTTGTGAATATATTTCTGTGAAAGGCGCTTTATAAATAAAACTTTACTTACTACATAACAAAATGTTCAGTATAACTACAGTATTAAATACTGTGGTTGTCCAAATAGGCTTTTCCCCTTTGGTCTACTGTCCTGAATGCTTTAGATCAGGGCTATTTAATTGGTGGCTCGGGGGCTACATCTGACCCCTGGGTTACTTCCGTCCGGCCCGCCAATTATTAAATTTTCTTTTTTCATTTTTTAAGTTAATTTAATATAAAAATCGATTTTAAATCAATTATACATAATATAT